TTCATTTAAATTATGTAGGTAATGTATAAATTCAAAATAAGTTTTAAGTAAAAGGCTAAATGCTCGCTGTAAATTTCATAGTTCCCGGGTTCGATCCCTGCCGCCATCAATGAAACTTTTAATTGTAATTTTAAGAGCAGATTTAACACGTGCGCGTGCGTGAGGAAAGATGAATGGCTGAGAAATAATAAAAAAATGTGTGTGTAAAGTTCGCTGACGTCCTTGCCCTAAAACCTTTTTAGGAACAAGAGGAGGCCTGTGCCTGTGCTTATGTGTGAGACGTATATAGGCTGTAATTTTAACTACGAGTATACGTTGCAGCATAAATTTTCATTGTTTTAATATCTAAGGTGCCGAAGTATTTGTCATGTACATATTGTTCACCTCACAGCTAGTTCTAAGATTGTAATCTTTATTTCATACTACGTAATTTCCCAAAAGCCTGTACCCAGTACGCAACCAGTTTTTTCATCCATATACCAGTAGCTACCAACTAGCTTTTAACTGGCTGGACGACATGTACCACTACCTTTTAGGGATCATAAAACCTAGGCTCTTTTAAGGCGAGGAATTAACGGAATTTAGGAAGGCGCTATATTTGGCTCTATTCTTTCGAATCCTTGCTGCACGGGTGATTTAAAAATCGTTCATTTTCTGTTAGGACATTATTTGGATTTTACACTCCGATCGTGTGAGTTTATATTGAAGTGACCTATTCATAGACAAATAACTAGTTACGGTTACTACAAGCTGAATCGGTTCTGGATTTTTATCAATAAACATACTGTATTTTATTGCAACGGAGCACTGGAGAAACTTTAAACTGGAAATGAAAATAATAGTGAAACAGGCGGCTGTCTACCACCTGCCAAGCGTGCCAACTATGGCAAGTATACCCCTTTTGAGGCTCGCCTTGCCTCTTGACGGAAAATAATCCCAGATTTAGACTGAAGTTTGCCGGATGTATGTATGTCCCATCATCATTTACATATTTTTTACTTGGTACAGCAGAACGAAGAATGGGTCGACTCGATCGAGGTAAACCACGCCCTCACAGAATACCACCGAAAAATAGCAGCATAAGGGTCGATCCTCATTATAATGCCGTTCGCAGTTCGTTCTCGGTCCGATTTCGGTCTGATAAAATATTATCAAGTAAAAAATATGTGTGTGCATTCATACCATCCGGTAACAGTCAAGTTTCGGTCGAATCCCATTCCATTATAATAAATCAGACCGAGAACGAACTGTGAACGGCAAATGAGGATCGACCCTAATGCTGATGTGTTTCGTACGATAAGTGTAGAAAACCGGAGGACCTTTTTCACTAGTAATGCAATTGTGGCCTTCGTTTTGGTGAACTTTAACATACCGTGAGCGGTGAGAGTCCTCTCCATACATTGCCTCATAGAAATAGGGGTATATTTGCCATAGCAGACGTTGTTGCCCATCTCCTTGGCGTTACATATAAATCATTGCTCATGCGACGGTAGGTTTATTAGTTGGATGCGGATTAGTTAATTCGAATCTGCCATTCGGCTATCGTCGTGAAGCACTTCTAATACAAGAATTTTAAGTTAACCTGGAGTAGTTAACGGGAATATTAGTAGTATTATTAGAATTCTTAGTATTTGTTTAAAAAAAAATGCTTTTAACAGTACACCAACATTAGTGCCAGCCACAGAAATCTAAATAATAATTTAGATTTCTGGGGTGCCGGCGTACACCTAAACCAGGCAGCTACAAGTGTCTCCTTTTAATATCCTTTTTTTGATATTGTTTATTCCTGTGATATTTTGTTAGGTATAGAATAGGATGAGAAAAGTGCACACATTCCACCAGATGGTAAGTGGATGCTGTGGCCCATAGACATATATTTATCCTCGATTACGAATTAAAATTAATCTTCTTTGATCAAAATGCATAACGCGTCGCGTCATGTATTTTGCTTCACTAATCCTATACCTATATCAGAAGCGCTGACCAGGAATTCTCCTTGCATATTATTATATAAACTGCTATTCGATGTAGACTTTAATGAATACAAACTAAAGTAGGTTCGTTAAATAAATCGATGTCCATTCGATACGAGTTTCCACCACGTCCATGATCACTATATCGATATTTATATGAAGTATTGCCACATCCGCAGTTTAATATCGACACGTTAGTCAAATGGTTACAGGGAAAGGGCGGACAAGTGCTTCCACATGTCGATTGCTTAGAACAGATTATGTTTTGCTGATGGGAGTTCTCACAGTTCTCGGTGAAGTCATGAAGGTATCGCGTTGGTTAATCTCTTGTGTAAACATATGTGAACAACTTTAAGTTATAAGATTGGATATCTTTGCGGTAGTTGTGAAAGGTACTAATTACAATCACCATATTTCTGTAACTGCCGTAATGGGCGATTATGAATGTAGCAAGATTAACTTGTAGGTAAAATCTTTATAACTTGCTAAATTATATTAGACTTAATTGAATAAAGTTAGTGGTAATGACATTGATGTTGATATATTTCAATCTAATTAGTTTAAAATTCAAATGTCTCATATTACCTGGATTTCTGGACAAAACTGTTTAGTTTTTGAGAAGGTAAGGCAAGCATCGTTAAAGGTGATCGCCAAAGCGCCTGCCAAGTATGCCAAGTCCTGCCAACTAACTACTTATGGACTAATGAGGTAGAGGAAGAAGAGCGAAACAAAAATTTGACTAGCTACTGTAGAAAGTTATCCAGCTCCACATGCCGTTGTAACATGGTTTTATGTGTTAGACAGATCCTATGTCCTAATATACGTCTTAGTAATAGTTATCTACAATTTTTCTTTTACTGTAAGAAATCGTCAAAAAAAACTATAATAAAAATTTCAATTGCACCCGAGAATCGAGCTTGGCCTGCTTACTTAAAATGAACGAATCTGATCTGATATGCATATTAAATAAAAATTAACAAATATTTTTGCACTGATATATTTACCATTACAATTCATCTAAAGTTCACTACTGTACATATTCCTCCCCCATAGATTGCCTCATAGAGAACATATTTTCTATAGTTTCCAAGCTTGGCAAGCGGGTTTCATCCGCAGTTTTTTTATTCGTCTATTTTTAGAATTTTCTGGTCCAGCTTACTTCTGTCGCCTCATGAATATTATTGTCATTAAGGATATTTTAGTTCAAAAAATTATGCCATGACACGTCACCCTTCGTTAGTATTAATAAAATGGTGCTGAGTCCGCACAACGACATTTGCCATACTTATCAGCATTCACAACATGCATCTACCCACATATTCTGTAGATAGACTGCAGAAGGCGAGGAGTAATAGCTTGGAGCCAATTCAAATCTCAAATTAGCAATCAGCGCGGGTTCAGACAATAAACCACAATAAAGCAAATCCAAACAATGTTATGGAGAGGCACAATAAATAGCCATGAACAATGGACTCTAATGAACTGGAGTCGAGACTTCGTTATGTGTTAAGCACCGTCCATACGGAAATGAATTGCAAACGATTAAATCTTGGCGATAAAAAAAATTGAATGAAACTAAGTTTTTACGGATTTTATCACATATATTTATTTAATTTATTGTAAACTCCCGACGTTCCAGTACTTTACAATACCCATGGTCACGAGTACTGAGGTGTTCGACGTTCTAATGTCATAGTTAGCCATGCCTATCTTCAGTTTAAAATTACCTTTGCTTAGATCGGACCACAAAGTACTCGAAACGTCCGATAAAATTCGGTTATAAAAAATATATTTTAATTTATATATTTAAAATAATTCATATATTAAAACAAATTTTTAAAATTATACTATATTTCATCATCATCATCATAATCATTACTGCCCTACACAAGGCCACTGTTGAAAATAGGCCAAGGAATGCCACAACGCACGGCTGAGCCACCTGCATCCATCGACTTCCTGCATATCTTACAAGGTCATCACTCCATCTAGTGGGGCAGTCCTACACTTCGACTATCGGTACGAGGCTGCCACTTAAGACCATTTTTCCCTTTATTACATTTAACATTTTAAAATTATCAAGATTCAAATGAAAGTTTGGGTCCCGGGATGTCTCGTGTCTTAAAGTCCCGATACTTTATAATTAAATTGTCTCAGGACTCGGGACTTTCAGATCAACACTCGAGACACGTTTGTTTGTTTTATAGAAGAGGGGGCAAACGAACATGCGGCTCACCTGATGTGAAGTGACTACCGCCGCCCATGATCAACCGCAACACCAGGGGAAATGCAGGTGCGTCGCCAACTCTTTAGAAAGGAGTAAGCTCTTTTCTTGAAGGTCCCCAGGTCGTATCGGTCCGGAAAAATCGCCGGTGGTAAACTATTCCAGAGAGAGGTCGTACGCGAAAGGAAACTCCTTGTGAAACGTACAGTGGTTGACCGCCAAGCATCCAGATGGTGTGGATGGTATCGGGACGTTTGCCGTGTAGTGCGTTCACGGAATTTGGCGGCTGGGATTAATCCGAACATTTCTTCAGAGCACTTCCCATGTTATACGTTGAAATCGTATTGTAATAAATTTTGTTTTCAAAAGGTCATATTATATTTTATTACCTTTTTTATCGACTTTAACGAGTGATAACTTGATACTCGTAAGTAACATACGGAGTTAGTTCGCCGCCATATTGTTATTTTGTGACGTTTGTTTGTGAGATCGTGATATTTGTGACTGTGTCTGCGTCAGTTTAGTCAGTCAATCGCAGGTGGGCACAGGCCTTAAGAAGTATTTGCAAGCGGTTTTTTTAGTTGTCGGTCCCATCTTATTGAGATTAAGGCTTCCATTTGTGATGATCATCTTATGTAGCATTTAGCGCTAAGAGTATGCGTCACAAACTCTACCACTTAATCACTTAGATGTTTATAAGTGGGATGACACGACACCCAGCAATGGTGGCTTTGATTAATCTGTCCAGCTCCTAATCTCCTCTGATAGCTACCTACAAGTGCCGAGGAGTGATACGTTTCACTTCAAGATCCTTCGATGCATTCCCCCATCAATTCAAGAACCTCGGCAGTAAGATATTCCAGAATAGCTGGTGAATATACCGCCGCTGTAGCACCAACACGGCCGTTACTTGTTCTCCTATTTTTCAGAGGTCTATGTATTCTTCCGACAGATAACTGCAATTCTGCCCTAGCTGATCTGGATACTGTTTTCGCCTTGGTTTTGTCTGAATCATTAACCGCTTTACCACCAGCCATTTTGAAACGTGTAACACTACCACTACAGTGCGCAACCAACACCTCAAAATAAATGTTACGCCATTCTCGTATTAAGGTTTTTTAAACCTATACATCTATAGAGTAGGATATCATAGTGAATATTTCCAAAGTTTGCTACGCTGAAATTCGCGATTAGAGTCAATTAAACTGACATTAGAGTTATATAGATCACCTCAACTTCTTTTCACACCGTGTGTTTGGTTGTACAAATAGTTCGTCACAATACTTTTTTGGAACATTGCGTTGACATTGTGATGCCAAAATAATCCATGATGCAATGAATTTGAAACAAATCAGTCTGTATACACACATCCTAAATATGTCACATTAGCCTATTTCTAATGTTATGGATATTGATACAATTGGTCGAGGGTTTAATGCCTTCGCAAATTAGGACAACTAGTTGATACGACTAAATACTACTGAACTATTGACCGCTGCATCAATTGACCTATTATATCTCTTACCAGATTATTTTGAACTATATTCTAAATATAGACCGCAGTGAGGGATCTCAAATTTTATTACTTAGTGTTTTTTTTTGCGCTTTCAAATGCCCTGCACAATAGTCTGTTGCCGGTTCTTCTCTAGTCTTGTTTTTGTGAACCGGTGTAGGAGGTTCATATAAGCTTTAAAGAAGCGTAAATATAATGAAAAAAATTGCATTTGATTTTGATACTATGTACTACAGACTTCTATATCGATTTCCGGTTAAGAACTAAAACAAAGATGCGCTGCCACCTATGAGGCAACAAAGCAAGCACAAAGTTATATTAAAAAGAGTCTCCGGTTCTCTACACTCACCATACTCTCTACACCACACTACAGTCTACACGGAGTATTAAGCTGCTATATTACGCTGGTTTATGTGAGAGCGTGATCGAACCCCTCTCGAGCCGACCCATTCATGCTTACAACCATTATATACCTGCAGCATGGCTCTTTGAGATGGTAGAACGCTGTCTGTCACCTTTCGGCAGGATTATCTTTCTTTCTGGAATTTATATTCGACTGTATGTTTTTTTTTATGTGTGTTCCCTCAGAGCTTTTTCTAGTTGAATCGATTTTGATGATTCTTATTTGAAAGAAAATAAAGCTGGTTCTTCTCATGTGGTTCCATATAAATTTGATCAAGATCTGACCAGTAGTTTTTGAGTTATCCTTAATAATGCGTATTTGACTTTGACTACGTTGATGATGTTTGCATTTTATTTATATTGAATTCGGTTGTACAACATTTTTTTTTAATTTTAGCAGTTCTTGGATGAGATATTTGGCTTACAAGTCAAATAAAAAATGGAACTACTAAAAAATTTTACTTCGATCAGTCATGTTAAATGTATAATCTAGACATATAAGCATGAGCTTTGATAAGACCGCACGCGAGTTAAAATAAACTTTATAGTTCACGACTGAGATAAACATCGGATTGTGACGAGGTCCGTAGAACTAGCTCATGAACGGATTATGTCAGACGCAGGCATTTTGCCATTACTTGCGACATCTGGTGGTGTGATACAAAAACGTAGCCTGAATACGAAACCGCTCAAAGCTCCGCTTTGTTGAATATTTCATGGTTTAACGCTGTTTTGTGAGTACAAAATGCGTTAAAGAAACGGAAATTACGTAACGTGTTACGTATGACCTTAAGCGGAGCACTTCGACAGGTACAATACAAAAACTGATTGGGCTGTCGGAAGCTGAAGAAATGCAATGTACATTCATAATTAAACGGTCCCAGAGCACACAATCCACCTGACGGTAAATGAATACTGTGCTGAATAGACATCTTTATATATATATATATATATATATATCCTCGATCGAGAATCAAAATGCACATGAATTGTCACCTCTGAGCACTAAGATAGAATGCCCCGTTTGCCAGTGAAAAGGGTCTCGGGTTCCCAACACTTACTTTGCGAAACACAGTAGTATAAAGCTGCTATTTTATTTATGCTGGTGTTTTGTGAAAGCGTGATTGAGAAAAAAGCGACTTAATGCTAAAATACGTAGATCTTGTTAAAAGGTAAATTTCCAAGAAACAAAAGCGAATCGTGAGACAATGTTGCGCTAAGAGAAGTAGCATAATTATGCGTAGCCTAAATAAATTCGGACTTAGGAAACACGACCGCCACACAACCTATGCTTGCCTGGTCATTATAGTAGCAGTTTCATAACGGACCGTCCGGGATTTTTTGTGGGATTAAAATTGTAAGTTACTTTGTACACAATGCATCATGATTACAGGCTGTCAAGCGTAGTAAATTAAACTAGAAGTATCATACTTATATACCCATTAATATCACTCTAAAATAGTCCTTATGTCATTGTAATAAGGATATCGGTTAATAGGTAGATATCGATAGTATAAAATTAAGTTGGTTTTAATAGAGCCCTGTGGTAAATTGATCTCGCTGTGTCAAATATGGGTGATTTTCGTAATTTTGTGTTGCGCTACTGTTGCAATCTTGGTTGATTGTGATCATTAGCACATTGTGGTGGTAAAAAAGGAGGTTCAATTTAGAAAAGCACTGTCGAAAATGGTGATGATTTCGATGACTACTTGCGAACTGTCCAAAACAATATAACTACTTATTTATATTTATAACGTGGTGGGTAACTACAAATAAAGGTGATCGGCGTGTGGTAGCGGCGTAAAGGATTCCATCACCTCATTTGCCCCATGGGTGTCGTAAGAAGACTATGGAGAAATCCTGAAATATTTATTAGCAAGAAGAGGTTTGGCAACCACAGCTTGTTATTTTTGGTTGTTTCTAATAAGACGCTGCTGCCATTTCCTGATTTGTTTTCCACTGTGACCTCTTACGCCACTCACAGGATGATATGAGGCAGTGGGTATTCTTACACCTCCACTACACGGTAAGGTAATAAAGCCTTTCTTCTATCTTTTCATCGTTTAAATTTATTTAACAGACCTTTGGTTACTTAATAATTATAATAATTTATTTAAAATAATTATAAAAATATATTTGAACAGCCTTAAGCCAATACTTATATTGTCAACTGACTCAGCTGAATGGATTTGATGTAACCACAGCACAGGCATAGACAACGTGAACCTTTGTTGCGAACGCCCGCAGGGTTCGTTGCCTTTCGTCCGCCACACTACATCTGACCATATTCTATGGTGTGGAGTTAATTATCAGAGCATGACCATAAACAACAAAAGCCATGTATTTATGTGTTGCACGAGTTAGGGACGCGTCACTGATTTTTGATTTTCACATCGTGGGTTTCATCATCTGCGGAAATAGTTATTAAAAATCCTATACCTTTAAACGAGCAATTCTTGTATATATATAATCGGAATCTCGGAAACGGCTCCAACGATTTTCATAAAATTTAGTGTCCAGAGACTTTCGGGGGCAATAAACCGATCTAGCTAGGATTTATTTTTAGAAATTGTCCCTTTGTCCGTGTTTTCAGGCAATAAAAAAACTGCTACAATATAAGAAGGTAAATTTTGACACTGACGATGGTTACTAACGATCGTAATAGCTCAGATGGGATGTTGTTCGGGCGTAATATCGTTCGCGTCCCGTCTTGAGTCCGACTTTTTTTTCCTTTCTTTTTTTCAAGTTCCCTTCTTTTGTGAGAAAATCTATTATTTCGAGCCCTTTTTTTCGTATTTTTTAAAAATTAGAAAATTTTAATTAATCTAATTGCACTCATGATTTTTTATTCAAATAACCAGTTCAGTTTTTTCTATTATGTCAATAAGATCAGAAACTATTGATGTAATTTGTATATAAATGTAACTTAAAAAAACCGAGCGAAGCTCGGTCATCCGGGTACGAAACTATTAAGGGGATATAGTAAGTCAGCTCAAATTCTAATTTCGACCCCACTTCCCCGCGCGTCGTATGCTATGTACCGACATGTTTGTAATCACTAATACTATAAGTAGATAGGTCGTTAGACACTTATTTCATTAGGTTTATCATATTTATGCCTGTTTCTTAACGCCAAGCCAGTCGCTTCTTATTTTTATTACGGTTATTTCCCATTTTAATTTTACGTCGTCCTGTTGCGTAATATGTATTCTGATCGGAAGCGAAACAACCTCCCCCTTCAAAGGCCGAAGCGAAACTGACCGGGCGGCAAGAATCACGCTTCAAGAGGCCGATAGTTTAGGTAATTTCTTTTTTACAGTGAAAATAATGGTATTTTAAAAAAAGTAAAAAACATAAGCACTGCTTTATAGTTAGTTCAGTTAGTATGCAAAGTTTCATGATCTTTTTATTGTTTATTTTTGAGGTAACTTTGGATTTTTTTCTATCGAGAAAATTTTACGGAATCGTGTTTTCGTCTAACATAATCCTTAATATTAATCCTCAACTTTACCATATATTTATTTCAAAATTAATGCTGCAATATTTTCGGCATAACGGAGGATCTTGCTAAGCCATTTGAGGTTATATTTCCCCTTAAATCGATTTTGTTTTTTTAACTTTATCATCAATAAGCTGTAAAACGCTATTTCACCTCAATGGTTGAATTTTTCAAAATCCTTTCTTACTTGTCTACGTCTAGAAATATATGCCAAATTTAAAGTCAAACGGGTGTATACTGTATAGTTTTGAAGATCTCGTTATATTATATAGTTTCGCTATATATAGATTACTTACTATTTACACTTTGTTTATTAATTTGACGTATTCGACAAACTGTCATTTCTATTTCTTTTATCGTCTTGACCTAAGATAACCTCTTTCAAGCGTGTTTATTCTGTTCAATTAATACCCTGGCACCTGATAAAAATAAAACAGCGGTCTCGAATCACGACCTTGTGGCGATCCCACAATCGGAAGATTTTTATCGCATCGCAATTAACAAAATAAATATAATTTAATATTGTGAAGTTCAAATAAATAAAAAATATATTGAAAGCTTCCTATTTCAAACTTTATCATCTGATGATGCCTTATCAAGGTAAAATACGTTTTGTACTAATT